ATCCAAGTTCAAGACCAGCTTGGACTATACAGTGAGATCATCTCAAACTAAACCACACAAACAAACAAACAACCCACAAAACAAATAGATGTTCTCAAGCATCCCAAATGATTCAGTCTCTGCTTCTGGAGCCTCTGGGGGTCTCTCTTTATGCCGGCCCCAGGCTGACACTCATTGGTCCCTCACTGGGTCATATGCCCATCTCTGAGCCAATCAGCATGGTTGGTGAGCTGCATAAACTGCTCAGAGAGGCATACCCAATTCTATCTGCCCAGACCTTAAGCCACCGTAGCACCCAGCAAACTGCAGAGGCTGAGGGGGGTGAGGCCTAGTGCCCAGGGTTGCCAAACTTCAGATCGCTCAGTTAAACCAACTCCGGGGAGACAAGTTGGTTTTGTAGTACAGTTACACTCATGTAATAGTTGGGGTATATTACATGAATACGTCATTTGTTTCTCTCACGTCCAAACTTAAGTGAACGGTCTGGATCCTTTGGTATCAAACATAGCAACTCTGATGACTCCTCCTAGACGAGGCAATGCTGCTTGCAGGTACAGGTGGCTGGCCCATGCAGGGCACCTCTGCCACTGGCCAAGTCCCAGTTAGGGAAGAGCCTGGCTACAAAGCCTGCTGTCTGAGGTCTAGCCTGGCGGGTGGAGATTAGCTGGGCTCCTCGGTCTGCCAGCCAGGACCCACTGCCACTGTGAAGGAAGGCAGTGCCCACCTGGGTCACACTGGGTATGGGGGACATAGGGTCTCCCAGTTCAGGGCCCAGCTAGGCTGCAGGCTGGAGTCACCCGGCGGGGTGTCCATCCTTGCTGCTGTGCCTACAGCTTTGTTCAGCAGCCCTCAACACACTCACCATCACCATTTACTGCCATTATCACACTACAGCTAAGGCGCACCCCGTCCTTACCACCCTGTGCCGGACCCTACGCGGAGCACTTTGTCGTTTCAATAGTAGTATTGTGTGTGTGGTGTGTGCACATGTGTTCCTGGGAGCGCAGATGAATATAAAAGCCAGAGGCCAACATCAGACTGCGCTCCCCTTCGTTCCTTTTGAGACAGAGTATCTCACTGAATCTGGTGCTCAAAGACTGGCTAGGCTGGCCTGCCGGGCAGTTCCAGAGATCTGCCTGTCTCCAAACTAATGGTGTAGTTACAGACCCAGGCCGCTGTGCCCAGCTTGCTTGTCTATTAATTATGCGTATGCCGGGAATTCCGACTCCAGTCCTCATGCAACACTTTGCTGTATGAAGCATCTCCCTGGCCCTTGTTCCGAGTACTGTGTAATTCTCATCTCACTTCAGCCTCCAAACCAGGGAGTAGTAATATCCCATTTTAATTTTTTTTTTTTTTTGAGACAGGATCTTACTGTATAGCCTTGGCTGGCCTTACAATCACAGGAATCTGCCAGCCTGTCTCCTGAGTGTTCAGATTAAAGGCGTGTCCCACCACACTTGGCTCATAATATCCTATTTAAAGGGTAGGTAAATCGAGGCTTGAAGAGGCAAAGACACCCAGTCACGATTCTAGTGACTGCCGATGGCTTGAAAGCTTCCTCTGAAACTCATACTGAAAATTAAGGCTCCAATCATAAGTTTAGGCTCTGCAGCTCAATGGCAGAGTGCCAGCCCAATACACCAGAGGTTCATTCCCAGTACCAAAGCAAACAAACAAAAAGACCCAGAAAGCATTCTGTTGCTTGCATTTGGGGGTATCTCAACTGGGCAGTAAATGGTCATCACTGGCTTTATTTTTTAATTTACTTTTATTTATGTGTGAGTGTGTGCATATGTGTCTATCTGTGTGTGCATGCAAGCGTGTGTGTGCATGTGTGTGTCTACGTGTCCGTGTGTGTATGTGTGGGAGTGTGTGTAATAAAAGCCATAGCCAGAGCTCAGTCACAGTGAGTGCGGCATGGAACTCACGTGGAGGTCAGAGGATAACTTGCAGCACTGAGTTCTCTCTTCTACCACATGGTTTGCAGCAAGCATCTTTGCCTCCTGAGCCATCTCAGGGACCCGAATTAGTGTCTCAGAAGGGAGAGAAAGCTCACCATGGGATGTCTCTGCCCATGTCATGATAATGCTTACCCTTCACTGGAGATTTCCCAGCCTCCAGAACCTTGAGCTAAATAAACTGTTTGTTAGGATTGGGGTCAAGGGGTGCGTTTTATGTGTATGAGTATTTTGGCTGTATGAATGTCTGTGTGCCATGTATACAGAATACCCTCAGGGGCCAGAAGAGGGCCTCTGGAACTAGAGGCATGGACAATGTGAGCTGCCGTATAGTTGTGGGAATCAAACCCAGGCCCTCTGGAAAAGCAGCCCTGCTTTTAACTGCTGAGCCATCTCTCCAGCCCTTGTTGGTTTTTTGAGACAGTGTCTCACATAGCCCATGCTGTGGCTAGTGATGAAACACCAACTAGCTGTCCTAGGAGAATCTGGGGAGGGAGAGAGGGAAGCTACTGACTCCAGAAGATTCTGCTCACAGACCCTTTGGATCCATGGGCAGATGTGCTTGACAAAAACCACATAGCAACTGGCTTGCTATCCTCACTCTCAGGGGATGGTTAGGGTCAGGTTCCAGGATGATGGTGTCAAGGGTCCCATCATTACCGTTACTGCCAGACTGACCTGGCAGTCCAGTCTCCCTGTACACGGCCTAGAAGAGTATTGTGCTATGGCTACCAGGGACGCCATGAGCCTATTTAGCACTGGTTCCAGGTTCAGTGGACTCAAATCACCCTAGACAGTCTGACTTCCACTTCCTCTCCAAAAGAGAAGGGAGGCTAACATGCTGAAGACTCTGAACAAACAATGAACATAAACTTGTCACGTGTCATTGCCCCCACTGTGTCTCAATGGCTCTTCGGGTGGTCTAAGTAAGAGTTGGGAACCATATTGGGACCGTCACTCCCAAGGTCATCATGCTGCATGACCTTGGGAGTGACTTTCCCAAGGTCATGCAGCAAGATGGCAGCAAAGTCTTGCATCCAGCGGCCAGCGGCCTTCCGAAATCTAATCCTTCAAGGCCTCCAGCCACAAGTGTGCCCTACCAGCAGTCCCTGTGACCTTCCATGCTTCCAGCTATCACTTCTTCCAGGTCTGACTCTGGAGTCTGTGATGAACCCTTGAGAAACCAAAGTCTTTTTCTCAGGGCAAGGTCCCAGCTGATACTGTTGTCCATGCTGGCCAAACTAGTTCTCAAGGTGTAAGGGCAGTCTCGGTGAGACGCTAGCCCTGGTGGCCTCGTGGGTGTGGTGCACCACTCTATAGGGTGGCACAAGCAGGCTGACCTGCTGGGATTAAGTGTCCCCACGCTGTGTGCCTCCCAGAGCATGCGTCACCGGGGTCATGTACCTCCCACACAGTGTGCAAAGAGGGCAGCCTGGCACTGGGTTAGGAATGCCAGGATACTATGGTCACTAGACTTGCTCTAAATCCCAGCTTGCCACAGAGCAGCTGAGAGGCCTGGAAAGTCCCTGAGCCTCTCTTGATTAGAGATAACAGCCTGTGCCTCCCAGGGCTGTGGTAGGCTTCTATGAGAGAGCCCAGCAAGAAGTAAAGCTTCCCCCTTGGGACCCTGGATAACCTTATTTCTAACAAGCAGCCCTTTCAGAGACACTGTTACTGTTCCCACCTTCCTTACCAACTGTGGCCAGACATGGTTGTGAATGCCCCTGGGAGGCTGAGGCAGGGAGGTGTTGAGTTTGAGGCTAGCACTGGTCACAGGGTAAAAAAAGGTAGACCTTATAGCACAGTCAGCTCCAAGAGGCCAAGGAAGGAGAACCACAAGTCTAGGGATTCTCTGAGTTACAAAGCAAGTTTGGATCAGCCTGGGCAATTTTGTAAGACATCTCCTCAAACTAAAATAAAAAGGGCTCTGTCATTCATGAGGCTTTGATTAGATCTCCAGGGTCACAAAAAATAAACAACCAGCTTTGTTTAGGATAGCCATTGGCTCAGCCAATCCTGGCTACACTAACCATTGTTTCCCTATGGGACTTGCTCTTCTGGGAACCCTTGCAGATAGTTTTGGTTGTCCCGGTGAAGAGCTATGCTCCTGGTAGCTGATAGAAGCCAGGCTAAGGTAAGGAATGGTTTGCCAGCAAAGTTATTTGACTCAAAATGTTGAGAGGGCTAAAGTTAAGTTAACTTAAGAAACACTGAAGCAGGTCCTGTTCCCCCCTCCCCACTTTCCCAGCATCCCTTGCAGCTAGGGATATACCTTGTAACCAAGAAATGGCCAATATGGCCTAGAAGTCAGCATGGGCTGGTGGCACAGTGCTGATCGCCTGGCAGAAGGGAGCGCCATGTCTCCAAACCTCTCAGGGTCTGCCCCTGCAACAGTGTGACAGTCACAGTGCCGAGGTCACCTGCCGTGAGCACTGGCAAAGGTCCCTATTCTGTTCTGGCCCTAAATAAGCTCTTGTAGTCTCCACCCTCTGACTTCTCGTTATTGAAAACTTAATTCCTCTCTGCTCAAATTACCCAGGCAATGTTATTTTCTGTTACATATAAGCCAAACACCACCTTGACAAATACTGATGCGATAAACCAAAAAGATAAAAGGGAGAGAGGGGATGAAATCTGCATAATCCTGGATAGTAAAATAAAATAAATAAAATAAAAAGGGGAAAGTGAAGCCAAAATTCTCACCACAGCCTGTAAGGTCCTGTATGATTTGCCCCATTCCTCTGTAACATAAATGCCCACTGCCTTTCTCTCCAGCCACCCTGGTTGCATTTGGCCTCTGCACTTGCTCTGTCCTTCCTGAAAAGGATGCCCTCTTGCTCTCTGCTGACCACCTCCTCCCACCTGGCTGCCTCTTCCTATCACTTGTGCCTCTGCCTTCCTGTCTACCTGCTCACTAATCCCTCCACACTGGAGAAGCCATGGCCTCCTTCACACCCCTACCTACCTCAGCGTTCCCAGGCCCTGTTCAGTGCGTGAGCAGTCAGACATCACCAGAGAAGAAGTAAACACCCTTTGCCCCGTTTCACAGTGTTTATTAAGATCATCTTTAAAGTTCTCTCTGATAAATAGTACACTACTTCTCATTTACAGCCTTTCCTTTGTAGAGACTGGGTTTCACTCTAGCCCAGGCAGCAATCCTCCTGCCTCTGCTTTCCAAGGGATTACAGACATGCACCACCATGCCTGGCTTATAACCTTTTCTTGGTTATAACAAAAAAAGAAGAAGAAGGAGGAGGAGGAGGAGGGGGAGGGGAGGGGGAGGAGCAGGAGGAGGAGGAGGAGGAGAGGAGGAGGAGAGGAGGAGGAGGAGAGGAGGAGGAGGAGGAGGAGGAGGAGGAGGAGGAGGAGGAGGAAGAAGAAGAAGAAAAAGAAGAAGAAGAAGGAGAAGTCCTTACACCCTGCCCCAGCACTGGCAGATGCCGAGAATTAATCCATTCTGAGAGACACCAGTCCTGACCCTGCCCTCGATCCTCTTTGCGGAACTGGTCAGTAGTTGACACCACGCATGGCGGCCACTGTGGCTGCTAGTCGGCGGGGCAGGCCTTTGCTGACCTGTCTGTACTCCTCGGGCTTGGCCTTCAAGAGCATCACAATGTTCTGGAGAGTGCGTGATGGCTGCAGCCCCAGCGCATCCATCACGTTGATCAGATAGTCTGTGGGTGAGGAGGAGACAGGTTCAGCAGTGCAGAATACGGGGGCCCACAGCCTCCCCAAATGTTGGGTGCTCCCTTGCTCCTCCTGCAGGCAGGCCTTCAGTGGGGGGCTGGGGAACCCTTCTCCAACAGGGGTTAACTGAACTGTGGGTATGAGCCCGGCCCTGGAATTCTAACTTAATGATCAGCTGGCATTGCCACCTTCCGCTCCCCTCCTCCTCCAACACCAGTGTAAAAGGTAGCTGGCCTCCCCCACAGCCCACCCCCAGCATGTTCTCCAGCGTGTGGCAAAGCAAAGGAGGTGGGAAACACGGGCTGAACAACCAAGGCCTTCCCTTGGGAACCTCACACTGAGCACAAGGCTGGTGCCGGAGGCGATGGCCTGCTATCATGCAGGCTCCAGTCCCCAGCTCACCCCTGAGAACTAGTTAATGCAGGTTCATTAGCCCACACCCAGATCAAATCGAGCATGACGGGGAAGAGAGACCTAGTTGGGCACGATGGCATACATCTTTAGCACTCAAGAGGCGGAGGAAGGTGGAGCTCTGTGAGTTCAAGGACAGCCTGCCTATGATGTGAGTTCCAGGCCAGCAAGGGCTACCCAGTGAGATCCTGTCTCAAGAGAGAGACAGACAGACCTCCAGGGGTGGGTCATTCTGAGAAGCAGTCCTGGACTCTAACAGCCTGAGTGGCGCTCTCAGACTGGAAACATCCAGCTGCAGCCAGGAGTGCCACCTTTTACCGGCGCTGCCCATGGTCAGTGCCCACCAGGCAGCAGGGACGGAGTGAGATGGGACAGACACTTTTAAGGCCTCTGTCCCATCTC